ACCTGGCCTGTCTGGGTGTGGGGCTGAGGGCTGTTTTCAGGCTGGGACTGAAGCTCCCAACCGCTCCTTTTTTTCTTTCTTCTTGTTTTTATTCTGGGCTAGTTTTAGCTCTGAGGCCTTGGCTGCTGAAAACAGGTTTCTGGCCTTTGTTTACCATCTGTATTTGATACAATGTTGCGGTCCGGCTGGCTGAAGCCCATATAGTTACTTAGAGTTGCAGCTGAGAGGCCGGCAAGTCAGGCAGGGGACATTGGAGTCCTCCGTCACTGAAGCAAGCAAGCCTCCCTGTTTGCATCAGCTGCCTGGCTGCCGGCCGCCATCTTGGCTGCCAGTTAATTTGCATATCTCACTGATTAGCCAATGGGAAGGGTAGCGGTCGTACGCCAATTACCATGTTTCTCTTTTATTAGTGTAGATGTTTCTCTGTACCAAAAATTAGAAGAAAATAGGTCACTCCTAAACCATCACCTGCTGTGCTAAACTTATTCAGCCAGTGAGTGAGTGCAGATCTTGTGAGCACAGCCATTTTTACCCCACTTTCAGCAGCTCCATCTGTCTGTCCATGTATAGAGAGAAAGATGAATTTATAAGTGGGCTTGTTTCCTGTTTAAAAAAAAAGTTTTCCTTTAAGGAAATTCTTGTTGGCATTTATATGTGCAGGAGATGTTAATTCCTGCACTTAACAAGTATCTATTGTGTGCCTGCTCTGTGCCAGGCACTGCCCTGGCCCCAGAGGAAATAGCAGCAAAGAGACTTCTTTCCTGCTTACATTCTTACAGGGGAGAAAAGACCGAAATCAACTGCGTTTCGCTACAGCAGCACCCACCTGGGAGCTTCCTAACAGGACATTAGACTCACAGACTTCCATAGAGGCCGCACCAGGGTTGTACAGTGGTCCACCCAGCAGCCCGGGTCTTGTCTCCACCCCCAGACCCCATAGTGCCTGCTCAGGTTTAAGGGCATGAGACCCATATTGGTGGGTAACAGGTTCTCCTTGGCGTAGAAGCCCCAGGCTCCACAGGAGCCATTGTCCCTTATAACAGCCCAATGGGCACAGCTTCCAGGGTCCCCACAAGGATGTGCCAGGTGCAAGGATCACTGCTCGAAAGCCCAAACTGATGGCAACCCCACCAGGTGTCCTTAGGTTTTCCCAGTCCAGTTGCATTTCTAAATCAGAGGTTATTTTTTCCATAAGCAGTGTTGCTGACACTCCACCTTTATCACATTTCCCAGAAGCAGAGCCGAAATGATCTTAAGGTCAAAATCATCCCTAGAAGGAGAAAGTGTTGTGTTAACCCTTTCCTTGACAGTTAGTTTTGTCAGAGGTGCTTCGAAGGAAACAGAGAGTGAAGAGCATGTGCCGGAGGTGCTGATGTCACTGCTGTGCAGCCATTTGTTAGGCAGCAAATGCTCAGTGCTTTTAACATAGACCTAATACTCTGACACCCTCTTCATTTTGCAGATAAGTCATCATGGTGAAAAGCCTCGTAGGCGGCTGGATCCTGCTTCTCTTTGTGGCCACATGGAGTGACGTGGGCCTCTGCAAGAAGCGACCGAAGCCTGGAGGAGGCAACACCGGCGGGAGCCGATACCCGGGGCAGGGTAGTCCTGGAGGCAACCGCTACCCACCCCAGGGCGGCGGCTGGGGTCAACCCCAGGGCGGTGGCTGGGGTCAGCCCCATGGTGGTGGAGGCTGGGGTCAGCCCCCTGGGGGTGGAGGCTGGGGACAGCCCCATGGTGGTGGAGGCTGGGGTCAGCCCCATGGGGGTGGCAGCCACAATCAGTGGAACAAGCCAAATAAGCCAAAAACCAACATGAAGCATGTGGCAGGAGCTGCCGCGGCCGGGGCAGTGGTGGGGGGCCTGGGGGGCTACATGCTGGGAAGTGCCATGAGCAGGCCCCCCATACATTTTGGCAATGAGTATGAGGACCGTTACTATCGTGAAAACATGAACCGTTTCCCCAACCAAGTGTACTACAAGCCTGTGGATCAGTACAACAACCAGAACAACTTTGTGCGCGACTGCGTCAACATCACGGTCAAGCAGCACACGGTCACCACCATCACCAAGGGGGAGAACATCACCGAGACAGACGTCAAGATTATGGAGCGTGTGGTGGAGGAGATGTGCACCACTCAGTACCAGAAAGAGTACCAGGCTTCTTACCAAAGAGGGGCGAGCGCGATCCTCTTCTCCTCCCCTCCTGTGATCCTCCTCATCTCTTTCCTCATTTTCCTAATAGTGGGGTGAGGGCAGCTTTTTGTCTGGGGAGGGAAGGGGGATCTACCTGCAGCCCTTTAGTGGTGATGTCTCGTTCTTGCTTCTCCCTTTGTCACCCGTAGGCTAATACCCTTGGCTTGATGGCACAGGGAAATGTAGAGCAGGCCTGGCACACTATGTATTCAAGCCCCTTTTGATTGAGCCCTTCATGGGCTAGTGCAAGTGCCAGGCTGGTAAAAGTGTGACAGCAAGTAATCATTCCATGGCCTAGGCATATTTTTTGCCTAGTGCAACACTGAGGCTAACATATTCTAAAAACAGTCCTCAAATACTTTTGCCTAGATACCTCCGGCTCCTTGCCCCACTACAGCTCAGTACACTAATGCCCCGTCTTAGTTGCCAGTGTTTTTGTAGCAATTTGGACACATTTTCTCATTCATTTTAAGCAAACCTGACTGCATTTGCCTGTTTAAATAGCATTTCTGCAAAATTTGGAAGGATACTCATTGAAAAAATAGGACTAGAAATCCTTAGCTCTTGGGCCCAGGCTCAGCCCTATGTCTGCAGAGAACTGTGACATTCTTTTGCATTTCACAATATAGGCTACACAGCAGCTATTGCATCAAGAGTAATATTCATGCAACATTAGACCTCTGGGCAGAGGATATTTCATAGGAAATGATCATAACTAACATGATATGAAAGGCTTCTGGGACTAAAAAAATCCAACATGTGGGAGTGGTGCCTTTGGAGGGCACCTACATGTGGCATTCCTTTCCATTAGTAACATCAACTAGATCATTAGGCAGTTAAAAATTAGGTTACCTTCTGGACACTAAGAACAAATCTTTGTCCATTTACCTGGAAATAGGAATGATTTTGACATTGGATGAAGCCAGGAGATATTAATATAAAGGAAACTAGCTGTAAAAACACCATTATCACAGAAGATTATGTAATGAAGAAATGCTTGTGTTTCTAAATGAGCCTTCATTGCTATCTCATAGTTGTCAAAAACCAGAATTAGGTTGAATCCTTCCTTTTGAGTTAGAAAATAAGGAATCAATCCACAAAGAAAAATCTTAGGTTGGAGATGACAGAAATATCCATTCTGAGTGGAAAAAGAAATTCTGTTCCTGTTAAGATAAAATTATTCCCTGGATCATTCAATATTGTCACCGAGCAGACCTATATTACTATTCTGCAATGTTATTGGCTTACACTGTGCGGGTATTCTATGTGATATATATATATGCATATATATGTGTATATATTGCATATGACAAATTTTGGTTAGAGCAGTTAACATCTGAAGTATCTAATGCATTACCCGTTGTGTAAGTTACTAAATATGTGGGGAACCCTTTTGCGTGGTCCTTAGGCTTACCATGTGCACTGAATAGTTTTGTATAAGGATCCAAAGTGGTCTTTGGAATATGCATGTACTTTATATTTTCTATATTTGTAACTTTGCATGTACTTGATTTGTTGTATAAAAATTTATAAATGTTTAATATCTGACTACAATTAAACAGGAGCTAAAATGAGCCTCTTCTGTGGAGTTCGCAGTTATAGTCACTAGAGTATGGCCGACCTGCTGCTGGAGCCCCAGGCCGGAGGCCACCAGGGTGCTTGGGGCCAGGACCATTTCTCCCTAACTGTCCTGGCAGATCTTCCCCTCCCCTTCCCCCCTCCCTCTAAAAACTAACAGTAAGCAAACAGTCATTATCTTAAATTTTGTATTGGGCAAAGATATCAATTTCAGTAACTCCAAACCTTAACACCCTTACATGACCCCATGACTTTAGAAAAACTTACAGGCCACCATTTTCATTGCCTTCCTTGCTGATTATGCCATCTCTCAGTTCATTAGGGGTGCCATAACAAAGTTCCACAGAGTGGGTGGCTTAAACAACAGGTGTGTTCTCTCACCATTCTGGAGGCTGGAAGTCTGAGATGGAGGTTTCAGCGAGATTGGTGTCTTCTGAGGCCTCTCTCCTGAGCTTGTGGATGGCCGTCGTCTTCCCTGTGTCTTCACATGATCTTCCCCCCTCTGTGTCTTATGTCCTAATCTTTTCGTAAGAACATCACCCAGGGTTTAAGGCCCACCCTAACAGCCTCATTTTAACTTTAACTCATTAAAGGTCCTATCTCTAAATAGTCATTTGAAGTATTGGGGACTGGACTTCAACATAGGAATTGTGTGGGAACACAATTCAGCCCATAATACCATCTTTCTAGGAATGGTGTGGCAGTGTCACTCTCAACCAAGTTCAAAGGTATTCCCAGGACTGTGAGTGCCTTGTGGGGGTCCCATATTCACACACACTGCCAGGATTCTCCTAATAAAAATGCCATCTGGATTATTCCGTGTCCTCAACAGACTGGACTACTGCCCATCGTCACTCCAATTAGGATTGTCAAGGGTGCCTACTCAGTGCCCATTGTAGAACAAACAGAAATGCTTCATTCTGGGTCCAGCACCTGAAATCCAGCCATCACCCCCAAACCTGGCACAAAATGAAGAGTTTCATGAGCAAATTTGTTTATTTTGGCTCCTGCTAAGGAGGATCTAAAACCCTAAGCCAGATAATTTGCCTCCTACACACAAATACTCTGCAAACACACCTGGCATTTGAGTTATACTGATTGAGTTAATTAACATAAAACTGAGTGTTAGCTGTAATTCCGTGGGTGCTAACATGCTGCCAAATTCCAAACGCTAGGCATGCCTGTCACCCTGCTCAGTAGCTGCCCACATATGGAATGTGTCCACTCAGGTTTCTCTATGGCCCTGGCTCACCTTCCAAAGTTGCCAACTCTAAGATACAGGGAGAGCCTCACAGATTCCAGGCCCTCCCAGCTGTGTGCCAGGCGGCCTTGCCCATGGTGGAGACTCACAGACCAGAGAACCCAACGAGGAAGGAGATTTCTTTTTCTAGCCAATGCCCATTTCCCCTGTTCTCTTGCATGTCTCTGAATCTCCTTTTATCCCACGCTCTGATGAATGAAGAAAAGAATGAATAAATAGTTACATGCTCAGCCAAGCCCAGATCCCCACCACACCCCCATAAAGTCTGTCAGAGATCATTCTTAGCTTTGAGGATTTTAGGAGCAAGATTTTTCTCTCCCATCCATAGAAGAGGCCCGTTGTGACTCTGCTACACATCTAATACCCACCAGCTTTGGCTGCTAGCTTCCCCAGAACATGCTAGGAAATGAACTCAATGAAGAAATCTGGAGAGGCTGTTTGGCTCTGTTCATCCAAGTTATGGAAAATGCCCACGGAAAACCACCATCTTTTGGCATAATCACATGAAGAATAATTGAACAACAGAAACCATGTCTTATTCAGTCTCTCCTAGTGTGTGATAAAACCACATCAAAGGGAAGAGCATATGTGTCCTTCGGGGTGAAGAGTGTAGACGACACAATAGTATTCAACCATAAAGGGGCTGGATGAGATTCTGACCCAGGCTACAACATGGATGGACTTTACAAATGTGATGCTGAATGAAATAAACCAGACACAAAGGGGTAAATATTGTATGATTCACTTTATTTTTTTAATATATGTTATTGATTTTTTTTGTACAAAGAGGAAGGGAGAGGAATAGAGAGTTAGAAACATCAATGAAAGAGAAACACTAATCAGCTGCCTCCTGCACACTCCTTACTGGGGATGTGCCCCGCAACCAAGGTACATGCCCTTGACCAGAATCGAACCTGGAACCCTTCAGTTCACAGGCCGACGCTCTATCCACTGAGCCAAACTGGTTAAGGGCATCTATGATTCACTTTAAATGAAATATCCAGATTAGGTAAATCCAGACAGAAAGTAGATTCATGGTTGCCAGAAGTTGGGGAGAGGTGTGGGAACAACAATTGGCTGCTAATGGGTATGGGGTTTCTTTCTGGTGTGGTAAAGATATTTTGTAATCAATGAACGACTTTGTGACTATGCTACTATCACTGAGTTGTAAACTTTGAAATGGTGAATCTCATGACATGTGAATTATATCTCAGTGAAGCTTTTTTTTTAAGTGTAGAACTACCTACCTAATATAGAAATGATGAGAGAGTAGGGGGAGGTTTAGGTATTGTTTGAGATTTAATTTGTTATAAGAACATTTCTGCCCACTTGTCTTTGTCACAGGTTTTCCAGGAAAATGTACATACGCACTAAGAGCCTCAGGTCAGCCGTGTTTGTGAACACTTGGCCCAAAGGCTTTCCTGGCCACACCGTCTATGAAAGCTGAAAAATGTAATGTGACACTCTCGGCCTTTACAAAGGTGGCCACAGCGATACTACTTAGCCACAGACTCATCAGGTTTAAAACCTGCTTGCCTGTTCTGTGATCTGTTATACTAGAAGACCAACTGGTATCAAGAGCTGATGGAATTTTAACTAGGCGAACAGACCTGTTACCCATATGTGGCAGAAATTCAGCCCCCTTAACTCACATTAAATACCAAAGGTTCCTCAACAAACACTATGGATCTTTGATGAATGGATGAATGAATGAATGAATGAATGAATGAACGAATGTCCTGGCAAATTGCTTTGTGACAAGCCTAGTGATTACCTTTTCTACTAGATTACAAGTTACTCATCATACAGACTAGTCCAACAACTCTCATCCACCTGGTGGAAACTTTACGCCCTGCCCAAAGAAGGCATTTCTCCTAATTTCTCAGTCTGTCCGGCAGAGGTAGCCCCAGCTGTTCTTTCCCCACCTCACCGCCAAGTTATGAAGACCGGTAAGGACACGCCCTTGCCGGCTATGAGCCAAGTCTTTGGCAAGACTGGGGAGTGTGAATACCAGGCCTTGAAAAATGGAGGCCTTCATCTGAGCCTTAGCATCTGACCTGCCCATATTACATCTCTGTCTGACTCACCTTGACCTCCCTATTCAGAGACCTTGCTGGAGAACTGGATGCCCCATCTGAATCACACATGTGATGTTTTGGCTTTCCCTCCATTGGTTCTCCTTCCATCTGGTTTTCCCTCAGGTGTGTGTACCTGATCCTCCCTCCCTGTGTGTCATCTCACACCTATGTGTCACTTCCACTTGGGGTCAGGAGCTCAGAGCCGCTGGGATAGGGAGCAGATCTGAGTAGCTGTGCTGCCAATACCGATAAGATAGGTTTAGCACTAGATATCTATGACTGTGGCAAGGAAGCAGCAGTGATGATGGGGGCTGGTGGGTGAAGGAAGAGCCAGGGACCCAAAGGCTCTTCAGTTGCCTTCTCCTGCTTCTTCATCCGGTGAGCCGGTCCCTCACAGGGTGGAGTTGTCTCGCAACTGCATGATGAGCATTAGATCCTTTAGGAATCCGCGTTTAGTGTGCCCAGCTCAGCTACGGCATCCTGGAAGGCCTATTTGGGGCAGGCCCGCCCGGTGCATGCTGCCCATTGTAACATGAAAGTGAGGACCAGGCCAGTCCGACTGGGGGCATCGGCTGCCCGTGCTCTTGGCTGATTTCAACAACGTCCTTGTAGGCCTCCTCACAAGCGTCGACCACCTGTTTTTCTTCTCCCCAGAAGCTACCCCTGCCAAGTAGCGGTGGGGATGGCCACTCCTTTTCAGGTAAAATACCTGGAAATCACTGCAGCTCTCGAGGAGGGGCTTGTCCCCATTGCACACTGTTCCCCGCTCCTCCTCCGTCCTCTGCCAGTAAGTAACCTTTCTCCAGCTTCTTTCCATTTCCATCGGCCGTGGTGTTCAGCTCAGTGCTGCTGCTGGCCCTCCAGGAGGATCGCCTGTCGCCAACCGCATTCCTGTGGGCCACGGAGAGGTTTCCATCTTCAAGGAGAGAGGTTCCTTGGGCCCTTCGCTGCCCACATGGAGGGGGCCATGTCGTGGCGCTGCGCCTGCTTGGCCTGGGCTGCAGGCGCGCGGCCGCCCACTCCTCTCGCTGGCTGCACCCGCAGACATCGCCCTGGGCTCAGCATAATGTTTTTAAGTATATAAAATAAATAACGGTTACACAGGAAAGCAAATGCTAAAATATAGTTATCAAAACAGCTTTACACCGATTAAATATTTTTAAACGCACTAAGTAAGATCTGGTGGACCTACTAACTACCTAATATTTGCATAATGATAAGTGTAAGGGATTCCACCTGGGGTAGGGATGTCCAACTTGTCCTGGTTTGCCCCCTACGGTCCCATCTGAGCACTGAAAATCCTGTGTCTGGAAGCCCCCTCATTCCTTGGCAAACTGGGCTGCTGGCCACATGCCCTTAACGTGACAATAACATCTGTGATCCTAGTGGGTGATGCTCACAGGCACAGCTAATGCTGCGGCCGCTCTTCATGGAGCAAAGGCTATATTTCAGGTGGAGGTTAGTGGAAATAAAGATGTGATTTTTTTTTTTCCCTATCCAAGTTCATGTATCTCCCAAATTCTATCCATGGGTAGCTCCCTTCCAGGTTAAAAATCCTTGCAATTAGGGGGACAAAGTTAGGCCTAATCTCCTCTCATCTTTATCATTTGTTCTTAGCTTTATTATAACTTAGCAAATGATTGTCATTGTTTATTTAAAAATTAAAACAAGCCTTGCGCCCTGACCGGTTTGGCTCAGTGGATAGAGCGTCGGCCTGCAGACTCTAGGGTCCCAGGTTTGATTCGGTCAAGGGCATGTACCTTGGTTGTGGGCACATACCCAGTAGGGAGTGTGCAGGAGGC